ATCGCGGGATCGGGTGTTTTCCTGCGTGCACAATGCGAAGATGCGCATTTTCTGACGAAGTCTGATGTGCCGACAAATCGGAGTGGCGTGTTTACGTGTTAATGATATGTGTTTACACTGGTCTTTTCACCTCAGTCGGTGTTTATCACGATTTACTCTACGTGGTTTTAACGAAAACGCGTTTTCACGGTACATAGTACATCTTCTACAGCGTAAATTGCTACTGCTACTGCTACTGCTAACTGACATAAGAAGCTGTTCCTATATGCTTCTCATGTCTCCGGGTGTCAGCGTGGGATTGCGGTGCAGTTCTTCGGCAGCGATGTCCACCAATGTTGGAGGAATTGTCGTCGACCGACACTTGTAAGTCTTCTACTAATAATCGTGTCCACGCCACTCGCTTGCAGACCTACCGCAAGCCTTATGACCGTAGAAGAAGGCTTTGTGATTTTGCTTGAGGCCACGCTGGACGACTAAGATGTGGTTCACAGGACAGAGATCATCGGGCCAACCCCGCCAGGTAGCTTGACGCCGGGTTGCGCGGGCAGATTCGCGGATAGGATCAGCGTTAGAGTGGCGTCTACGGTGCAGTTCCTGGCGTCCACGATGCTCCTTGCTACTCTTCACTCGATATAAGAAGGGCTTATCCACCAGATAAGTTGCCAGCACATCGTCAATATCTCCACGTATGGTACAGAAGGCTTCTGGCTCCCATCGCTCGTTCTCAGGAGAGGCGTAACCAGCAGAAGCAGTATCGCCGCTATCAGTAGCCGGAGTATCATCTCCGTCGGAATCGGTGGTGGTATCGCTGGGGCAATCATCGTCCAATAGGCTCTCTTCTGAAGAATCTGAACCTGCACTGCCATTTACTGAAGGAAGGTCGTCAGCGCCATCCGGATGCTCTTCCGTGAGTACCTAGAATGATATAGTTTTAACACTGCCGGCATAGCCTTACGTCTGTAGATAATACCGATGAAGTAGGTTCGGGAGAAAGTTCCTCTCCGTCGTGCGCCTCTGTATGAGAGAGCAGTGGACGCTCGATGTCGATGTGAGTGGATGGAGGCGCATGTCGGTTGGTCACAGAAACATCGCTCGCAGCACGTTCAGGGCCTTGTTGGTAGGCGTCGGCCTGCCCATGCACTCGCATGCGGCGGATGTGGTCCACAGATTCAGATGGGTTCATTTTCATTATTCCACGGAATCCGGAAGGATTGGTCTTCGACATCTCAATGAACGTGTTGACATGCGCGTCCTGGATTCTTCTTTGCTCTCCACTGTCTCCTGAACCAAGAGTACGGCCAAGCAGACCAGTCTGCACTGCATTGACAACAATATTAATTAGTTCATTACATACCCGCTCAGTAACACGAGCTTCATAGCCGTCTAGCATCTTCTTGACATCGGCGGCACTCACCTCGTACACTGCAGAGGAGGTAGGAGTTTGTCCAGATCCTGCATTCCCGCTAGAAGAACCTTCCTGGATCGGACTCGGTGAAGAAGGCCGACTTCAGCATGATGAATTTCATCGATGAAACCTGTCGATCGTGCAGAACCTTCAGTCTGTCATGCTCGCGACAGAACTCATCGAACTTCTTAGCCGATGGAGAGAACACGAGCTTTTTAGTGAGCCGCTCTGTGCCTACCCATTTAGTGTATACTTGATTTGAGCTTCCAATACGCGTGAACATCGTATATAGAACGCCAAAAAGCCAAGGCTCACGCAGCCTGCGTTCAATATCGATGTGCACTGTGTGTGGGCTCTTATATTCGTCATCCTTCGACAGATCAATAACAATGTACTTGAGCGTCGATCCCAGCAGTTTATGGCATGTCAGAGCTGCCCCTAACTCCACAGGCAAGTTTCGCCTTTGTACAGGAGGGAGCCGACGGCTC